ACCATTTCCAGGATCTGGGCTTGCTCAGCCATCTCGCGTTTCTTAATCTCTTCCGCTAGTTCCTCGGCAGTCTTTCCTTGAGTGTCATCAACATCTTCGTCCAAAGCAATTTGGTTTGTCTAAAATAACGTCTTTCAGAAGCAGAAAAATCATAAATCCTCTTGTCCTACCTTGACGAGCATCTCGAAAGTTGGTGAGGGTGATCTCGATGGGTATCTTATCCTCTTAGGGTCCTCAAAGGGATCGTCAAGAACAATTGTATGCGCGATTCTGCAAAACAAACTGAGTAGATGTATGAAAAAGAAAGTTTTGACTGACCTGACATCTTTGTATGGCCTGTGGTCTTCATCACATAGCTGCTCGTTTAATTTTTCCAGTGTTTCTATACCTTCTGTTACTTGTCCGAATATAGTATGTTTATCATCTAGGTAGTCCAACCTAAAATTGCAAAAGGTGATCCTAGGACAACAAAAGAAAAACACTGAAAACTGCTAGAAATAGTGAATTGTATAAAATGTCTACACAGATTTGGAAAACTCACGCCTCTCCCAAAGTGATGAAAAACTGGCTACCGAGCATATTGTTACCATTGTTGACAAATGAAACGACACCTAGAAACGAATAAAAGAGGTCTAATTACAAAAACAAAGGATACAAATGTTTCAATCTCATACCTAATCGCGTGTGCTTCATTTTCGGCAGGTCTTCCTTTTCGAAGTAGCGAGCTTGTTCACCGTACAGAGTTCTGAAAGATAAAGAATTGACTGCTTTCAACTAGACCCTGCTCAAGTAAGAAGTAGCACCAACAGATAAAGAAGTTATTTTGGATACAGGCCTGTTTTGAAATGCGGATCTAAAATCAAAACTTTTCACTTACTGAAATATGGATTCGCCTCCACGCCCAGTTCCCGTTGGATCACCAGTCTGTGCAACATAGTTTTGCTGAAAATAAACGAACCATTGTCTTCATACAAGGTAACCTCAAAAAGTGTTAGTACCAAACCTCAATCGTGTGAAACTGGCAGAGATTGTAATACTTCATTTTACACAGTTTCAGAAAGTTGAGTGAACCTGCAAACCCAACTTTTATATGAAGTTAATTCGAGAAAAAACAAGGTGTGCTTACATTTCGGACGTTCCTTTACATACAGATCAATCACAATGTCCCCTAAGGTGGTCTCTACAAGGACCGCCATTTAGGGAGTCCTATAAAGACAAGAACGTGATTGATGCTATACTAACAGAAGTAGCAGTTTAAGCTCCTGAGTTCTTTGTTTTGTCAGTCTCCAAAAATATACCCAACATAAATAGATAACCTGACAAGTAATTTTGTGCAGTCGACACAT